CTCCCGAAATACGCTCAGCCCCAAGGGAGGCCATGAAGAGCCTTAGGTTATGTTACTCCACCATAAACACGTGCGATTATGAAACCCTCAGGAATGGAAGCGGGACCAGCGAAGCTTCGGGACGACTCATATTAAATGAAACCATCCAGATCTTGTGTTTCTGCAGCATCCATTGAAACCGAGGATGAAATCTCATGCTGGACCCCCTGGGCTGCTCAAGGGCAAAGAAGACCCCCTTGCTCATGAGGAGAAGTATTAACAGGATGCATCGCTCCACCATGCAGTTGGCCTGCCTGACGTAGCGCTGAGTCTCGTCTCCTTCTGGGGCGGCCCAACACTCGGGGTGGGGATTCACGGGGGCCTGAGACGATGTCAGGGAAAGGAGGGGGTCGGATAACTAGGTTTGAGAGGAAGTCTAGGGGAAGGAGGGTGTCCTAGTGGTCGGTCGACTCGGCGTCCAGCAGTATTCCGATTCACCCAAACCCAGCTGGAGCACACAGGGGCATTCGAGTTCAAGCCCTTCTCCTGAAGGGCAACAGCGAGCGCGATCAAATGAGCGAAACCCAGAGGCGACAGGATATCCATAAAACGATCGTCGATGTCAATATCATAACCGCAGGCCCTGCGCTGGGCCCCCACCCGTTGTCGGGAAGGAGAAGAACAAAGAGAGGGAGGAGGATGAGGAGGAGGAGCCGGAGGAATGGCAGGAGAGTGGAGGACGGGAGGGCGGAGACGAGCAGGGCGGGGGAGAGGAGGAGGAGGAGGAGGAGGAGGAGGAGGAGGAGGAGGAGGAGGAGGAGAAAGAGAACTGCGGGTGTGTGCGCGCAAAGCACAACAATCCGACAGCTGTGTTTCCAGCTCGGCGGGACGCGTCGGCGATGCTCTGCACGCCAGCGAACGTCTCCAACGTGTGAAGCCAAGGTTCCATGCCCACCTCCTCCCGGAGGGGCAAGACTCCCAGAGGGGCAAGAGCAATATGAAAGTCCAGGTTGGGTGGCCTGCGCGGATTTCTCAAGTCGGCGCTGCACTCTGGCGCGCGAGGCGCGCTGAAAGAGCTGCAGGGCCATCTCAAGAAATCCGCGGGGGTGGGGGGGGGCAAACCGTTCGTGATCCCCCTATCCTCAGCAACTGTCGTCACGACATGAATGAAATCCAGCGGGGCCCCGAGAATTTGCAAGGCCAGGCACAGAGTCCCGAGCGCGTTCGAGGTCTCAGTTGCCCTTGATTTTCTAGAAGAGCGCTTCGCCCTCCTGCCGACCAGCTTCGCCATGGCACGGCGCGGAGACGGCGGGGGGGAGGAGGACGAGGAGGAGGAGGAGGAGGAGGAGGAGGAGGAGGAGGAGGAGAAGGGGGGAAGGAGGAGGAAGGAGGAGGAAGGAGGAAGAAGGAGGAGGAAGGAGAAGGAAGGAGAGTGGAGCACGAGGAGGATGAGGAGGAGCAGGAGGAAGAATAAGAGAAAGAGGAGGAGGAGGAGGAGGAGGGAGAGGAGAAGGAGGAGCAGCAGAAGCATGGGCAGGATCAGGAGCAGGAGCGGGAGGAGCAGGCAGGGTGGAGGAGGAGGAGGAGGAGAGGCAGGAGGGCCGCCCGTTGGGACCCCTCTGGCAGGCCACCTTGGGAGCCTTGCGTGGCTTCGATATTTGGTGCAACTCTCTCTCTCTCTCTCTCTCTCTCTCTCTCTCTCTCTCTCTCTCTCTCTCTCTCCGGTGCCCGGGTGAGGGGGCGCATGCATTCATTTCTGCAAGCCTACGAAATCCCATGGCGAGCCATCCCGTCGGCGCGCCGAGCATGCATGCTGCGCGGCTGCAGGCGGTCTTGCCTCTCGCAGCACGCGTCAGCATTCAGAGCCCCAGAGCGTTCGACGGCCTGCACGTTGGCGCCCGCCGCGCACCCCGCCCTCCGTTCCACAAACCGTGGAGGGGAGTGGGCCTAGGGGCAGGGTCGCGGCGGGCGCAAACACGTGGGCCATCGGATCAAACGCGATGCCAAACGTGTTGGCTCTCTCAGGAGGGCCAGTGCCTCTTCTGCTGCTGCTGCTGCTGCTCCTCTTCCTCCTGATGTCCTCCTCCTCCTCCTCTCCCTCCTCCTCCTCCTCCTCAACCTCTGTCCCCATCCTCCTCCTCCTCCTCCTCCTCCTCCTCCTCCTCCTCCTCCTCCTCCTTCCTCCTCTCCTCTCCTTCCCCATCCCCTCTTCCACCTCCTCCCCCTCCTCCTCTCCTCCTGCCTCCTCCTCCCTCCTCCGTCCCTCCTCCTACCTCATCCCCTCCTCCTCCTCCTCCTCCTCCTACTCCTCCTACCTCTTCTCCTCCGCCCGCCTCCTCCTCCTCCTCCTCCTGCTACCTCCTCCTCCGTCCTCCTCCTCCTCCTCCTCCTCCGCCTCCTCCTCCTTCTCCTCCTCCTCCTCCTCCTCCTCCTCCTCCTCCTCCTCCTCCTCCTCTCCCCCCTGTTGCACTGGGCCCTCACGCCGCGGCCTCCGCGGCTGCCTGCGCAGCGACCGCCTCGTCCCAGTGGACGGCTTGCTTTGCCTGCTCCCACGCCTTGTCGATGCTGCCGATCTTGGACCAACTCAGGTTGCGGTACGGCGGCGTCCTGCTCTCGTCGTCGTTGAGCACGCGCACGTACCGCAGCCAGAAGGACTTTCGGCGCCGCACAAGGGGGGCATGGAGGGGGGGGGGTGCCTTCTTCAAAAGGCCAGGGTCATTCGGAGGCATCTTAACCCTCTGAGGTTTGAACGCCTCGTTTTTTTTTAAGAAGGCCCCCCTCCCCCAGTCTACCCCCCTTGGCGCGACGCCGAGCCTTGTTGGCCAACTGCACCTCCACGCGCGCGTCGTTGCCGACCACCCCCGCGTAGATGGTGTAGTTCTTCTTGCCGCGCACCACGCTCTGCGGCAACGCCTGCCCCAGAGGAGGGGATGGGAGAGGAGAGGAGGAAGGAAGGAGGAGGGATGAAGGAGTGAGGTGGAGGTGAGGTGGAGGTGAGAGGAGGAGAGAGGAGGGAGAGGGAGGAGATAGGATGGAAAGGGAGGGGGGGAGGAGGAGGAGGAGGATGAGGAGGAGAGGAGGAGGAGAGGAAGGGAGTAGAAGTGGGATATTAAAATATTAGAAAGGAAGGAAGAGTGCAGGGCAAAAGGAAAGGGAGCATGGGAGGAGGAGGGGGAAGAAGAGCAAGAGGAGGACGTGGAGCAAGGGGAATACGACGAGCCTCCGTCGGCATGTCCGCCGGGATCGGCAGCTTGCCGTCGGGCTTGAGCGTCTCCTCGAGCGTCGCCGCAAGCGCCTCCTCCAGCGCGAGGGCGCCCTCGCCCACCTCGGCCTCCTCGGGGGCGAGTGCGTCCTGCTCGTCCTCGGCCTCCTCGGGCAGCACCTCCTCCTCCTCCTCCTCCTCTTCCTCGGCCTCCTCGGGCGCGAGGGCGCCCTCCTCCTCGGCGTCGGAGTCGAGGAGGTCAACGACCTCAACCTCGCGGGTGGGGAGCTCCTCTTCCTGTATTGCTTGGCCCTCTCCTCCTCCTGCTCCCCTTCATTATCTCTCTTTCTCTCTCTCTTTCTCTCCTCCTCCTCCTCCTCCTCCTCCTCCTCTTCCTCTTCTTGTTCCTACTTCTCCTTCCTTTCCTTTTCCTCTTCTTCTCCGCCTCATCCTCCCTCTCCTCCTCCTCCTCCTCCTCCTCCTCCTCCTCCTCCTCCTCCTCTTCTTTCTCCTCCTCCTCCTGCGCTCCTCCTCCTCCTCCTCCTCCTCCTCCTCCTCCTCCTCCTCCTCCGTTCCCTGTAGGGCAGGGTTGGCATCTGTCCGCTCACCTGCGGCACTTTGCCGATGGCACCCTTGAAGCCGTCGCCCATGAACGCGTCCGGGGGGGTGTCGGTCTCGACAGCCTCGGGGTCAGATTCGTCGTCGTCTTCCGTCTCCTCCCCTCTACCGCCCCCCCCTGCTCCTCCTCCCTTGCTCGTCCTCCTTTTCGTCCCCATCCTCATCGTTGATCGCCCCTCTCCTCTCCTTCCCTCTCATCTCCTCTCCTCTCTTTCCTGCCCTCCTCTTCCTCGTCCTCCTCTTGATCCTCGAGCTGCTGCTGCTGCACCTCTTCCCACTCCTCCTCCTCATCTTCCTCATCCTCCGCCTCCTCCGCTTCCCTCCACCCACCCTCCCACCTTGTCGTCATCCTCCCCTTCCTCCTCTTCCTGTTCTTTCCTCTCCTTCTCCTTCTCCTCTTCTCCCTCCCCCAGTCTTCATTCCTCAAGCATCCTGGTACTCGTCGCGCTCCCGCCAGACGCCGAGCTCGCCCTGGTCGGCGTCGCCGTGCGAGACCTTGAGCTTCTTGGCGGCCTTCTTGGTCTTCCCAGGCCTCTTGAACGTGGCCTTCTTCGCGCTCTTTTCCTTGTTGGCCTTCTTCTTGGCCGCCGCCTTCTTCTTCTTCTTGCTCGACGAGGTCTCCGCCAGCCGTTGCAGCCGCACCTGCTTATTCTGAGCCATGCTGTCCACGGGCTTCGGAGGCGTGAGGATCAAGCCGCTCATGACCTCGGCCATGCCTGGCGGCGCTGCTGGCGGGGGGCTCTTCATGGCGTTCAGCCAAGCAGCAGCAGCCGGCTCAGGCGCTACGTGCGCCGACGAGCCGAGAAGACCTGCCGTGCCCACCACGGCGTCGCTCTCCTGCAACTCTGCCTCATCTCCAGCATCGGCCAGGTCCAGCTCCGCACCCGCCTCGGAGTCGGTGACGGCGGCGTCTGGCCCCAGGCTCTCGGACGAACCTTTCGGGCTCTTGACGAACATCTGCTTGATCTCCAGCAGGTTGTGATCCGTGCTGCTCTCGCTGTTCCGCCACGGGAGACGAGCGTGGCCCACCAGCTTGCTCAACGTGATGGCCTCCTTCACGGCCTGCTCCTCGGCGCTCCTGCTCGGCGCCGCCACATTGATGAGGCACCTCTTGCACTTCTCCACGTGCAAGTAGAGGAGCGCGTCCGCTACGAGGTACGCCGACGGAACCTCTACGGAATCGCAATCATCTCATCTCTCC